TGCATTTGCCGTGAATCAGACACCTTGCTAGGTGTTTGGAATAAAAAGATTAAGAAAATATAGCTCCTGTCCTAGAATCCAGAGGACACTTATATAAACATGACAACATATCAAATATTCTCTAGGTTTTTGTTTCATTTCTAACAGTATTCTAGATACAGGCAATATAAAAGATTGCATCTTTAATGTCAGAGTGAGACTGAACGTATTGCCTTGTAGCTGAATGATGGATCAACCTTCTCATGAAAGCTCCCCTGCAATAACATGCAGAAGTCTGAATAATGAGCTATTCCATGGCTGAGTCAATGAGAAGCCAAAGGCAGCCCAAGTAACAGTAAAAATATTACCAGAAGGTATCCCTGCTTCCTGAGGGTGAATACAATATACAATTGTCGGGCAATTCAACAGCTTTGCTATCCTTAGGTAAGTTTATGTTTCTAAAATGATCATTCATGGGGCGCCTGGGGGGCTCAGTTGTTAAGTGTCTGCCTTCGGCTCAGGTCATGATCCCAGAGTCCTGGGATCGAGCCCCGCATCAGGCTCCCTGCTCAGCGGGAAGCCTGCTTCTCCCTCTCCCACTCCCCCTGCTTGTGTTCCCTCTCTCACCGTGTCTCTCTCTGTCAAATAAATAAATAAAATCTCTTTAAAAAAAAAATGATCATTCACTTCAGAGTTCGAAGTACAACAGCATGAATAAGAAACAATTTTGCATTCCTTCCATATTTCACTTTGCGTTCTATTTTCCCCTGCTAATACAACACCTTTGAAAACCTATATTCTACTTTATTCATGTCTGCAACCTCAAAACTGCAAGCCTGACCTTCTTCTTAAGCCAAAAAAAATATATATTTATATGTGACATATACATATATGCTCTAATATACATGTCAGTTTACATTAAAATCAATATTTACTCCATTCTAAACTCATTTCTTTAGAAATATTAGATCTTTTTTAAATAAAGGAATACAAATTATTTTATCATATTTTGAATGTAACTCAAGGACTGTAAACTAAATATATTTAAAAGTAATGAAAAATGCATTTTAAAAGTGTCCCTCGGGGCTCCTGGGTGGCTCAGTCGGTTGAGCGTCTGCCTTCGGCTCAGGTCATGATCCCAGGGTCCTGCGATCGAGCCCCGGATCAGGTTCCCTACTTCGTGGGAACCTGCTTCTCCCTTTCCCACTCTCCCCTGCTTGTGTTCCCTCTCTCGCTGTCAAATAAATAAAATATTAAAAAAAAAAGAGTGTCCCTCTTAGAATTTAAAGTGCTTTTTTACAGATGTAAACTTACAGAATTTTACAGAAACTCTGCTATGTACAGATCTCTGACAAAATAGCCTCAGAAGAGCAAAGACAACTCACAGCCTGCTAACTGGATGAGTTGTTTTCACTGACTGATGATAATTCTAGAAAGCTCCAATATACAATAATAGACAAGTATAAGAGAAGCTGAGAGGGGGTGCCTAGGTAGCTCAGTCAGTTGAGCGTCTGACTCTTGGCTTCGGCTCAGGTCATGATCCCAGGGTCATGAGATCCAGCCTCAGGTCAGGCTCTGTGCTCAGCATGCAGTCTGCTTGAGATTGTCTCTCACTCTCCTTCCGTCTTTCCCAACCGCCCCCCATGGATGCATGAGCTCTCTCTCTCTAAAAAAAAAAAAAAAAAAGAAGAAGAAAGAAGAAGAAGAAGAAAATCTTAAAAAAAGAGAGAGAGAGAGAAGTTGGGAGCAGATTTCAAGGGTGAGTACAGAATAAAACTGGCCAAAGCTTGAAGTTTAATGGCATAAGAGAGCAGAGACTATGAATAATTGAAAAAAAAATGCAGAAAACAGTCACCATATTTTGGGGGGATAGTTACAATGAGCGATTATTTTAGAAACATAACCAACAAAATATAAAATATTATTTGAGGCACTGGTACCAAGCTAAACATACCACTATTACTACTAATTAATAATACTACAATTACAGATAAAATTTAGTAAGCAATTACATGCCAGCCACTTTGTAAAGGACCATAAATGGATTCAATCCTTGTAACAATCTTATGAGATAGTTACCACCAGCAACCTCATTTTATAAAGGAAGAAACCAGACATTAAAGAAGTAATTTTCCCATTATTATGTAGCTAATTAATCAAAAACAAAACCAGAAATCAAGTCATGCGATTCCAGATGCTGAGAGAAATGCTATGCTGCCTCCTCAACCAGTAGAACAATGAGCCAGTAAATTGTGAGAATATTAACAGTAAACTGTTTCCTGCATATCCTTTTAGAGACATTCATAAATAGAAGAAAAGAAGTTCTTTTACCCAACAATATAAATTTCAAAATTTCAAACAAAAGACAAGGGAGAGATGCTTATAGACACTATGGAAATAACTATCTTTTTCACAATATAAGTAGGCAAAGGACAATATCTCCAAAGAAACAGTTTAATGTTGGCTTATCCAAAACAAAATTTATCTAAAGCAAAAAGGTCTGATTTTCAAACTCTATAGGTTCTAAGTAAAGCAAATTACTGAATACAACTAACACATGCCCTGTAAGTAGTCAAACGGAGATACAGTGCAGTAAACTAGCTGTGAGGATGAACTATGGAGTCAGGCTGCCTGGGATCTAATCCTGGCTCCACTACAAATAAGGAGATTTACTTAATCTCTGCCACAATTTCTTAATCTCTATAAAAAGGATAATCATGGGGCGCCCGGGTGGCTCAGTCGTTAAGCATCTGCCTTTGGCTCAGGTCATGATCCCAGGGTCCTGGGATCGAGCCCTGCATCGGGCTTCCTGCTCCGCAGGAAGCCTGCTTCTCCCTCACTCCCCCTGCTTGTGTTCCCTCTCTTGTGCTCTGTTAAATAAATAAATAAAATCTTAAAAAATATATATATAAGGATAATCATATACTGTAATTATATCTACCTCAAAGGAAATTCAATAGAGTACTAATGTTAGCAATTTTTATTATTAAAATGAAGTACCTAAAACTAAGTGCTAAGTCATTCTCAATAAATGCCCTATGTAAAAGTTCCATACACTGCAGCACTAAATTTTATATACAATGAATGTGAATATAATCATTGTATAAAGATATTTCTAAAAAGGCACTAGGAATTCCATGTGAAATAAAGTGAAACAAAACAAAACAATAGAAAGTAAAATGAGTGTTATCACTATCTTTTTCTTCCATAAAGGAATTAAAATGAGAGCACAGCTAGTCTCACTCTGTAGAAACCAAAAATGAAAATTAATACATAAATGTACATGGTCTTTTATAAGATTAGGCTTCAAGTAGAAATATCTTATCGTAATCTTCCTATCAACAATAAGTTTTTGATAATTCTTCTAAAACAATCTCTTGTTTAGAACACTGTTTCTCATATTCGTTTGGATGGCAATGCACAACCAAGTGAGGGTGCTCTTTACGGAAATGCCAAAATGATGATGATGTCCTTACTGGTATGCTAAGAACTAGGAAAAACTTCACTAGATTACAGAGCTGCCTATATACATGCAACGCATACGCCATTTTCTCCAGTATGAAAATAATAACCACAAACCCAAAACTATGAAAAATCTAAGCAAGAGCAATGTAATTTTTTCATTAACATTAATTTGGTACTTGTTAATAATATTAGAAGCTAACTTTTGAATATCTATTACATGCCAAGCAATATGCCAAAGAAATTTATACGTTTATCTTACTTGTAACTTACCTTGCTCATAATCATATGAGGTATTCATTATTATTTTTATTTCGACAGTGAAATAGCAGGTGTCAAAGAGATTAGATATAATTTCACTGAAGTTCAAATAACTGGTAAGTAGGAGTGAGGATTCAAACCAATCCTGACTCAAACCTTGCACTTTGAAGCACAACACTACACTTCTACATTATGCGATAATATCTAAAAGTTTAAACATCTTACACAACTATATTTAAATTTAATACTATTAAGAAATAATTAATATTAATCAATTTTAAGAAGAGAACATAAGTACCAATGGGAGGACCATTTAAGACCTATTGTTGGGGATTTAATGTATGCAGGTGATTATAGTTAGTAATATTGTATTTATATACTTGAAGGTTGCTAAAAGAGTAGATCTTAAATATTTTCAACACAAAAATGGTAATTACATGATACAATGGAGGTGTTAACTAATGTTACGGTGGTAGTCATTTTACAATAAACAAAGGTATCGAAGCAATACACTGTATATCTTAAACTTATAAAATGTTATGTGTCAATTATATCTCAATAAAGCAGGGGGGAGGCTGTGGGGGAGAGAATTGCTGAGAAGCTCCTATTATTTACTCTCAAAATTACTCCGAAATTCCAAGTCTAAGGTGCTTTGTTAAGTATACAGCTAAAGAAATCTAGTTCTGTAAGCTGTAGTTCAAATAAAAGGCCTTCTTACTACAACATAAGCCAATTGTAAAGTCAATCCTTGATTGATTAACCTAACTTAATTCCTCAGAGAGGAGATATTTTTAGAGAATAAAATTAATTTTGGGGGGATAAACTAAATCCACTCTGCTTTGTTTGTAGTCATTTTGGAATTTACTTATTTTAATTTGAAGGAGGCACAAAGGTTAGTGTTGTAAAAAAGAAAAAAAATAACCCTTAGTCTTTAGTCTGATTGTTATTTGCTAAAGGAAACATTACTGAAATAAATATTTAGTTTTGTTGAGTCTTCTAACAATATTACTCTATATGCCAACGACTTCTAATTTTGTATTATAATTAGCATATTTATAGCCATAATTGGAAAGATAGGAAATTATATAAAAATAATTCTCATCAATGAGAACTGTGAAAAGACTGTTTATAGCTCAAACATGCCTAGCTCAATCTAACCTAAAATCTTACTATTCTGGAATGAATTTTTACTAAAAGACACATCTTGAGTCTGCATTAGATAGCTATTAAAGACAAGAAGACCTGTTAAATCATCATATTTAAAAATAATCTTAAGTCAAGCCTTAAAATACATCTACCTTATGATATCCATTGCCTGGTAAAGTATTTCAGACTGATCAACTCCAAGAACCTTCTTTGCCCCAGCTTTAGCTGCAAACATAGAGAGAATTCCAGTTCCACAACCAACATCCAGAACTACCTGGTGTAATAAAAAAAACAGGTATTACTGAGAAGGTCTAGTATTTTAAGTTCTATTCATATATTTTGACATTACTGGCAAGGAACAGACCACGAAATTTTAAAATTTTACAGATCAACAATGGTAGTAATTTCTATTTGAAGAAACTGAAGGTATCATTACAATGGGTTGTTTTAAATTCTTTTTTTGAGGGGGGGTACATAAGTTCTATGCCCAGCATGGGGCTTGAACTACGACCCCAAGATCAAGAGTCTTGTACTCTACTGATTAAGCCAGTTGTTTCATATTCTCAATAGCATGTTTGGCCATATTCTGCTACAATCAGATGCAACAATGTAAATTAAGAGATGTTTTATATGAAATAAGCAGTTTCCACAGATTTAATAGGGAAGTATTCTGTTTGTAATTTCCTTACTGTCTGCATGCTGTAATTTAGGCTTAGTAATTCTAAATTTTAGTAGAAATAAACTTTCTCAAGTTTGAAAGGCAGGAATTAACTTAAGAAGGATAGCCTGATCCAATACAACTAAAAAATGTTTATAAAGGAATCCTAGATGTAGAATTTTGTCATATCCCCTCCATTTCCAAAATTAAATATTCAACTCATTTAAACAATACAGGTATAATAAAAATAAATTGGCTTCCAGAACTTCAAAATATAAGTTTTAAAAATGATACTTGGGGCACCTGGGTGGCTCAGCCGGTTAAGCGTCTGCCTTCAGCTCAGGTCATAATCCCAGGGTCCTTAGATAGAGCCCCGAAACAGGCTTCCTGTTCAGCAGGGAGCCTGCTTCTCCCTCTCCTCCCGGCTTGTGCTCTCTCTCACTATATCTGTCTCTCAAATAAATAAAATCTTTAAAAAATAAAAATAAATTAAAATGATACTCATTACCATTGGTGAAGGCAATAAGAACCAAAGTTTAAGATGATATTGGGAACAGGTAAAAAGCAATTACTTCTAAATCAAGAATTGCATGTTATTTCCAGGATAGTATAGTGAGACCTGCTTGTCAATAAAAAACAAAAACAAATTGCTAAGGACACACACTAAGCAAAGTACAAAGAGGTATACTATTCTGTGAAATTATTGAAAACTGTAGTGCCTTAAGTCTTTCATTATTGATGGTCTAAATCCTATGTACTTATCCCAAAATATGAAATGATTTCAAGTTTCTCCTGTAAATATTCACAGTTAAGAGCAGGCACTGATCAGAGTGATGGGATACGGCCACAAACAAGACCATGTCCCTGTCTTAATGAAGCTTACCATCTTGTGGAGAAGACCAGTGAATAAACAAATACAAAATAATGTCAGATAGTAGTGTTATAAAGAAAAATCAAGCATCAGAGTAGAGGTTAGAGCAGGGAAGAGGGGATACATCTTTTCAGAATCTTAAATAGGTCTGTGAATATGTTTCTGACACATGTGAGCACAGAACTGAAGGCAATAAAGGAGCATGCCATGCAGAGATCTGGAGGAGTGTCTTCTGACCATGGACGATATTAAAGGCAAGGCACAAAATACCAGGCAAAGCAACACCAATGTGGCTAAGCTGGGTGAGAAAAGGTTGCTTGGAGGTGAGGTGAGGGGTTAAGAAGGGCCATATCACATAGAACTTTTGGATTTTATTCTGAGTAATGGGAAGCTACTGTCAGAAAAACAGAACTAGAATTAAGAATTTATTAAATTGTTCAAGAATTATTTTATTCTTCAACTAGGTAATATAGTCACATAGTTTACACACCAAAAACTATTTCTTATTTATCCTTCAAGAGACTTTCTATGCAAATATAACACAATACATTTTTTTTCCTTCCCCTTTCTACACAAATGGAAGCATACCCACTGCCCTCGCTACACACTGCTTTTTGTATTTAACAATGTAATGTAGAGATCTTCCTGTATCAATTTACAGAACTTCTTTCTCTCATACAGTTGTATAGGATTCCATATTATGGCTATACCAGAACCCACTGATCTAGTTCTTTACTGATGGACATTTAGGTAGTTTCTGAAATTTTACTATGATAATCAAAGCTATAAATAACCTTATACCCAACCCCATTCACTCATGAGTAAATCTGTAGAATATATTTCTAAAAGTGAAAACACTGTGTCAGAGAGAATATACATATTTGTAATCATGGTAGACATAATCAAATAAATTATCTTCCATAGGACAATCCAACCAGCAATGTTTTAAGTGCTGATGGCTTTACAGGTGAGACTAGCCTATGGAACATACAATGAAATTTTTGGCTTTTTGCCAATCTTGCAAGTACAAAATAATGATATACTGGTCTAGTTAAAACATGCAATTCCATTATTATGAGGTTTAGCATCATTCCTTATGTTGCAGAGCCATCTGCGGTTCTTTTTTTGTAAACTATGTACTTATATCTTTTCTCTATTTTCCAGTTCTTAAGTTTTTTCTTATCAAATTTCTAATCGAAATTTTCTTATAAATCTTGCCAAATAACAGTTTTTTGTAAGCTAAGTAGATTAGACCTCTATAACTTGGAATGTTTCTCTCAGCATATATTTTAGTCTTTTGATTCAGCTTACAGTGATTTTTGTAATGTAGAAATTCTTTACTTATTGTAAAACTCATCAGTCATGTCTTTTATGGCTTCCTTCTGAATTTTGATCATAATTAGACTGACCCTCCCCATCTTCTTCCCTACTTCATCCTCATATATTTCCTTCTAGTTCATTTATGGTTTCATTAAGTTTGTTTTTATCATAGTACATACTAAGAGGTATGGTTTCAACTGTACTTCTGTTCAGATGGCTAACCAACTGTTCCAACATGCTATTAAACAGTCTGTGTTTCCCCTACTAATTTGATATGTGACTGTTACGATCTGAATATTTGTGTCCCTCCAAAAATTGTATGTTGAAATCCTAACCAAAAGTGATGGTATTAGAAATGAAGGTCTTTGGGAGGTAATTAGGTCATAAGGGCAAAGCCCTCATGAATGGAATTAGTACCCTTATAAAAGATTCCTCTCTGGAGGAAGAAGGCATTTCTATGAACCACAAAGCAGGCCTTCGCCGGAATTAGCCAGTGCCATGATCTTGGACCTCCCAGCCTCTATAACTGTGAGAAATAGATTTCTGTTGTTTATAAGCCACTAAGTTCATGGTATTTTTTTTTTTATAGATTTTATTTATTTATTTGAGAGATAGAGTGAGTGAGAGAGAGAGCACACATGAGCAAGGGCAGAGGGAGAGAAGCAGGCTCCCTTGCTGAGCAAGAAGCCCAATGCGGGGCTCAATCCCAGGACCCCAGGATCACGACCTAAGCCAAAGGCAGACCCTTAACCGACTGAGCCACTCAGGTGCCCCTAAGCCCCTACAGCAACCAGAATGGACTAAGACAGGGACATTGAGCGTTAAGGAAAATTTCTGTATATATTTTGGATTTTTTTTTTTAAGATTTTATTTATTTGACAGAGAGAGACACAGTGAGAGAGAGAACACAAGCAGGGGGAGTGGGAGAGGGAGAAGCAGGCTTCCTGCAGACCAGGGAGCCCGATGTGGGGCTCGATCCCGGGACCCTGGGATCATGACCTGAGCCGAAGGTAGACGCTTAACCGAATGAGCCACTCAGGTGCCCCTAAGTTCATGGTATTTTTGTTACAGCAACCAGAATGGACTAAGACAGGGACCTTGAGCATTAAGGAAAACTTCTGTATATATTTTGGATTTTTACTCCGCTCCATTAGTTTACATAATCATGTGCCAGTAACTATTCTAATTACAGAAGCTTTACAGAATGTTTTAGTGCCTAGTAAGGCTGGTACACTCTCACTGCAAAATTTTTTTCACAGTGTTTCTGGAAAATTTTATATATTTATTTTTTCATAAGAACAAGAGAATAAACTTGTCTAGGTTTTTAAAAAAAAGTCTTGGTATTTTTATGGGGATTGAGCTAAAATTCTAAGTTAATTTAGAGAAAATGGACAATTTGAGTTTTCCTACTCAAGAACACAGTCTTTCAATTTGTTTAAATCATCTATCATGTCCTTCAGATTTTTAAAAAAAGCTTTTTTTCATATAAGCCCTGCATATTATTTAAATTTGTTCATATGCATTTTATCTCTGTATTGTTTACTGTTACGAGTAGAGTGCTTCATTCCATTATATCTTGAAAACATAATTTACTGGAACTGACTCCAAAGGAGAGAAATCTAAACAACCTGATTTTTGTTGAAGAAATAAAGTTGTCAAAAGGTTACTACTCTGTGTCTCCTAACCCCTGCCCTTTCAAGAAGGACAAGGCCCATATGCTTTCAGAGGGAGAATCTATTTCCTGTACATGTGACCCGTCTAGAGTTGAGTCAGCACATTTTAACATAACTACTTTAACATACAAAAAAGTTAAGGATTTTAAGGTGGAAACTATATGACATTGCAAACAAAAAACATTTTCTTAAGTTACAAATAAAATGTATTACCATAACAGCAAGAAAATATTATAATAGATAGCATATGCGCTTATAGTATATTAGTTTGAATATTATATGGCATAAAAGTGGGAAAATATATAACACAATCATAAGTGATAAATTCTGAGAAACTTTCACTGAAATAAGATATTTGCAAAATTTAAAAATTAAAAATAAAAAGTCAGTGTGGAATTTAGAAGTTTGATACTACAGTATTTGGCAATGGTGACTGGGAATATCAATAATCACAACACCGTTTATGGAAAGACAGACTGGCAGCACTAATACCATCCAAGATATAAATAACCTTTTTTGACCCAGTAAGTCCACTGCTAGGAATTTATCTTAGGACGCCTGGTGGCTCAGTTGGTTAAGCGTCTGTCTTCAGCTCAGGTCATGATCCCAGGGTCCTGGGATCGAGCCCTGCATCGGGCTCCCTGCTCATTGGGGAGCCTGCTTTTCCCTCTGCCTGCTCTGCCTGCCCCTTCCCCTGTTTGTGTGCGTGGTCTCTCTCTCTGACAAATAAATAAATAAATAAAATCTTAAAAAAAAAAAAAAGGAATTTTTCTTATTATCATACTCTCACATATATTAAAAACAAATTTAAATATTTTATATTTTTATATGAATTGTTTCTAGTATAAAAAATTAAAACTTATGGACATTCTTACATTGGACATGTAAGCCATTAAAAGAATGTTAATAAGGAATCATCTTTTAAGAAAAGCTGCTGAATGAAGAAAGCTAAGTACAGAGGGATATATATCATATACTCCAGTTAAAGTATGTGTTCTTTTGTAACCCTATACACACACACAATTTATATACATATGCATATATATGCACGTGTGTGTATGTATTATATATATGTACATATATGTGTGTGTGTGTGTGTGTGTGTGTGTGTATATATATATATATATATATATATATATATATAAAAGTCTTACTTAATCCTCATTCTGCAAATGAGAGAGCTTGGGAGAGGGAAGGGAAGAGGTCCAGAATCATAAAGCTGGTAATTTATAAAGCTAGCATGCAAACATAGGCCAATCTGCTTCTAAAGCTATATTTTTAAAAATATTTTTAATTATATATTAATTATTACACCTACTCAAAATTAGGTAATAAACTAAAACTTAAAACTTGACAGAATCAAAGGAAGGTAAAAATGATGACAGAATAAACTAACATTATTTTATAAAATGAAGGAATTTGATTCCTTTTTCTAAGGAAAAAAAAAGGAAAAGAAAAAAAGTGAATCAATTTAACTGTAGATAATAATCAAAAGCATAGTGAAGGCACCTAACTGTGAATTTCTTCAATGGACTACAAATAGAAATTAATTACGAGTGCATGATAACATGATTAAGTGCCACCCAAATTAAATTAAATCTGAGAAACCATATGGCCTCCACAGGAGGTTTGTGAATTCAAACAGTACTAAGAGAGGAATAAAAGAAAGAAGGCAAGAAGGGAGGGATGGAGGAAGAGAAGAAAGGAAGAAACATATTTTTCATTATAAGCATCTTTTTGAAAATAAACTCTACTATGCACTATATAATATGATATAGAAGCTAGTATTGTATAAAGTTTGTCTACCAAATGGAGATAAAAGCAAACAAAAACAATGGTAATAAAACAGAGGAAAACAAGTTATTTCATACATTTAAAAAAGATAATTTTATGAACATATTCTTATCATGGCACACAAAAATTGTATGACCCAAGTATGAAAAATGTCAATTAAAATAATGCATCCCACCCTAATTATGCATTCTATTTTAACATAATGGTATTTCAAGTGCAGTGGCACAAGGTTAAGGGCACTAGACTAGGAGGAAAGTGTTTGTTTTTGGTTTAGTTGCCTGTTTTAGGGCAAGTCAATTAACCTATTGGTCTCAAATATCTACATTTGCAAAAGGAGATAAATACCTGCCCTGCCTAGTTATAGGTATACTATACAGTGACAATGACACGTGTTTGAAAGCAATATATAAATTATCAAATGCTACTTAAATACATGGTAGTAAATTTTCTAAATCTGTAGCCATAGTATGATAAAGTATCCCAAATCATTTAAAAATATGAAAGTGCTAGATTATTTAATACTGTTAATTACAGAAATTAAACCCTGAAAGTGTTTTTTAAGGAATTAAAAATTGATAGGTATAATATTTTACATTGCAGTATATTTTTGAGAAGCCATAAGTGCTAAGCAAAACTAATTACACACTGATTAACTTAAATGAAAGCATTTTAGAGAAACTGCTAAGGAAAAATACTCCCAAATTATTAATAAGCTGTTTTCTGACTTTGGCAGATTTAATGTCTCCAGTAAGAGCAGTAAGTAAAGCACAAAATAACTGAAACATTATATATTTTCCATGGGCATGTATTGTGTCTGAAAATGTATAACATATATACATAACATTTCTATAATACCGTTACAAATTAAAAACTAGAAGCAGAAAGTGACTGTGTATGTCTATGAATCCACTAAGATGCATTCCATATAGAAATATTCAGAATTACTTAATTTCTCAATGATTAATCTTCTAATTATAAATATTTGTGCCTTTTCAGTATATTTTTAGATATCATAAGACACGAGTCTATTCAGAAGCATACTGGAAAAGATACTTCTAACTTAATTTCACTTAACAAATTCTTATAGTATTTGCATCAAAAAGTATTATGAAAAGATGGCTCAAAACCAGTGCTTTTACAATTTAAAAAAATCATAAAATTTTCAAACCAGAAGGGATTAAAATGATTTCATTTTACAGATGAGGCCCAAAGAGATCCATCCACTTGTCTAAAATTATTATATATCTCGTTCCTGAGAAGCTAGGCAGGATTAATGACCCAGGCCAGTACATGCTTAATTTCTCTAAAACATATTAATGAAAAAATAAAAGAAAAATCTGGGTACAGTCTAACTATAAGTATAAAGCAAAATTTTTAATAGTAACATATTTGCTTCTTGGGAAACAAAGTGGTTTTTCAGACATATTAAATAAATTGTTCCAGCATTTGGGTGTAACTATAAAAACCAAACATAAAAGAATTCTTAGTCTCTGCTGTAAAACATATAAAAAGCACACAAAAAAGCTAAGTACAAAGAAAGATAAAAAGTAAGATTTTAAAAATGAAATCACCTATTTGTCTATAACAGGGGATCAGTAAATACAAAGAAATACATATTATCATAAACCTTTCATGTTAGGTAATGCTTTGGCAAAGATATCAGAGTACCATATAAATTTCAACTGTCTAACTCAGCTAAGTCACAAGTGAAACACAGCTCTTGGGAAACAGATAAGGAAAATGAAAAGCCAATCTGTATTATATTCCAAACAATACGCAAATTAGGAAAAGAAATTTTTTAAAATATAAAGATTGTTAGTCACTGCTGCAGTATCACATAAAGCTTATGAAATAACCTTGGAGAACTATCTTTTAAAATGAAGGTGAAAGGGGAATTATAAAAACCTGGTATGTTGTCAATATATATATTCTTTAAGTGGAAAGGGTGGGGAAAAATTCCCAGAGGTATATATGTGGCAGAAATGATAGTATCTTTGACTAAATTAGTGGACTAATTTCCAATAAGAAAGAACAAACAGAAAATCTGAACTTTTAGGTAAACATGCCAACGTAGAAAGGGAGGGAACGAGGAAGTGAAGAAGAAAAAATGAAAACAATTCATAAGGGAGGAAAGAAAAATGACACAAATTTCAAACACACACAAACACACACACAAACACAGTGTGAAATTTCATCTTTGAAATACCCTGAAATGATATTAAGACTAACTGTAAAATACAAAGTGTCTCATGAAGAGGTATATGAGGTCTTAAAGGACCTAAGTTCTACCTTACAATATTTGACCCTACTTATTAATAACTTCTTAAAATTATTAATTTTTAACTAATTAACACACACCAGAGTAATCACTAAAAGTATGCTTTGGTACAGGGCTTATCTGATACATTTGAAATTCATAGGAATCACAGTAAATCAACAGTATGGTTTAAGCAAAATAATCTGGAGAAGCAAAGTTTAACTAAACCATGTCACTGTAATTAATGAATTTCAATTTAAAAAATCTATACACTGAATGGCAGCACCAATCAGCATTTCTGCTATCAGGATTCTGCACCACAGAGAAGCATCATAAAGTCTTCCATGAAATAAAGCCAGAGTACACTAAATCAACTGCTAGCACCATGAGACCCAAGAGACGACTTCTACTGTCCAAGATCCACATGAAATGTGCAATTCTATAGCCTATGCTACTCACCTTGTCTTTGAAGATATGTGGATTTTGGTACATAAAATCTCGGTAACTTTCTGTTCGTACTTTGTCCTAGAGTAGAGAGAGAAAAGCATTCTGTTTATAGGACAGACTGAAAATATAAAAATTTCTAGGAAGTTATTTGTTATTTTATCACATATTGCTAGTTTGCTTGGAAAGCTAAGCTTATTTTTTTTGTCCTAAAAGAAAACAAGAAAAAACAGAAATGCCAACGACACACAAAGAAAATTACTTAAAGTCAGATAAGGTCGAAATTCTTAAACATGTACAAATTTTTGTCTTGACACGCGTTATCATTTCAAGACTTCAATTGATAATTAAAGCTAACAGAAGCTGAACATGATGTTTTGCTCCTTCAAATAGGGCCTGGAATCTAGAGCCTGACAACCTGTATGTTGTAAAGGGAGACTACTATGTTAAATGTTAAAATGCTATGTTAAAACATGGGAGAAAAATAACCAAAACAGGTGACTGTAAAAGCTACAGTTACATATAAAAAATGAAGCCACATGGAGTATGGTTTTTCTAAGAAAGTCACTGATCAGCACCTATCTGATTTATAATCCTGTTTTGTTTCTAGAAACGTCTGTAGTAGGAAATGATGCTTAAAAGTCTATAACCCCATAGGTAAATCATTTGAGCCCTGCAGCTCACATTTGAGACTTCTACACTCTGGAGTCTCACATGACCTGTGACTGAGACAGGCATCGAATGCAAACATTTATTTTAGTTCAAGAATAGAGCCAATTCCCTTTTAAATTACTTCAGTTGAGACATATACGGCCAGCAAATTAAGCAGTAAGGGCCTCTGCTGTGAAGTAAATAAAATGAGCACGATAAAAATAGATTAGGAATTCCAGTTTTGGGTTTCACACTAGGTAAAAAGAAATATTACAGCAAATGCTATGATATCAAAATTTATGCAATCTATACCCTTCAAAAAACAATTTTAGGGCAAAAAAACATATAAAGGTCTTAAATTAAAAGCCAAGTTGTTTTACTTAATTACAGGATATAAAAACGGGGAATTGCAGAATTCCATGTTTTGTTTTGTTTTTTAGAATTCCATGTTTTCTGATGGAATTATTTCTAATTGCTTTATGAACAAAATTTTAAATAAGGTTTATTAAACCTTTCCCTGAAATTATTTTAAGACTTACTAAAAGAATCTAATGTTTAAATAAATTTACACCTATTAACTAATGAATTTTAAAAGTCTTTTAAAAAAATATATACGATTCCATACATCCATCATTTTTATACTCATCTTATATTACAACCAGCGATTTTTGCTGGGTGAACATCAGTCTAGGAGGCAGTCACTTGGAAAGCTCTCGCCAATCACACTGCCTCACCACTGCTCCTGTCCTAAATCCATGCACCGCTGCTCCCTCAACTACAGTCCTTTGTAAGTGCTCTTTCTACAGATCCATCTGCTTTCATTCACATGCTCACTCTGGGGCAATAAAATCCAAAGTATACCAAACAGAGTGCCTTGGACATAGCAGAGCTTCAATTTAATAACTGAAGTTTTGAAAGAAAAACCACTAAACATGAAAATGCAAGCAAATAAAAGACTAGCACTCATAACCACTTCTAAAAATGTATTCTAAGAAAACACTAACACTTCAATACAAAACAAGGTGATAGAAATCTTAAAAATTATCTTTTTCACCAGCCTATTAAAACTAAGAAACACAAAAGAAAAATAAAATCAGAGCTCTAATACTAAGAAGCAAAATAATTTTTTAAGACTAGTGAAGTGCCATGGAATTATTCCTGCAAGTGTTAAAAAAAAATTTAAGAATGAGACTACAGTAAAGTATATACTACAAATTTTATATATATAAATGACAGTATGTTTTAAATGACAGGCTCATGAAGGTGGAAGGAATGCATGAGTTGGCTGGAGATACAATGAGAAGAATGCAGTCAAGAAAAATTATCTAATGGTACTATGATCTGTGATAAATGTTCACCAGGATGAACAATGTTTTTCTTGGGAAAAAAGAGAGTGATGCATCTCAGATCTACAACATTAGTCAACAATGACTGTTCTTCAGAAAGATTAAGTGGCAAAGGATTTTGAAAGTTCATGTAATCCATCCTTCCATCAACTGTATCTCTGGAATTCCAAAATGTTATCTTCATCTGAACTCCAGGAAGTAAGATCACAAAGTACCTTTATTTATAATTATAATCACAACATATGCCAAAATAGTGTCATTGAAATATGAGACTAAGTAACTAAAAATCCAAATACTCTCCCTATAAAAAGCAAGGCCAATTCTACGCATAAAAATAAATCCTATTCATGGTTTCTCAATTTTAAATTATTTATAAAGATCAAGTGAGATTCTGGTAGTAGCACAACCTTAAACAGATTATGTTGAGCTAAGAACTGTTTTTGATAAGAAACAGCTTGATATAGGGAACATTTCCTACTCACCCGCAGTATATAAGTTAGCAAAATATAAATTGGATAAATAGTTCTTTTTGCATGGAATATATCCTTTTTCCTATGAACACTTAATCAAGTCATCACCAAGGAGAGGTAATTACATTGTGTAATAGCTAACAGGAAGTGAGGCATGGAAAATTATATTAATAGGGATTCTTAAATGATTCTCTAAAAGGGAAAAGGTTAGCACTGGAAACTTCAAGCTGGAACTTCTTAAATCCATATGTACGTCAAAAGGACTTAGGGATATGCCATCAGGTATGAAGATGTTCTAGTTATGGATATACAGCTACAAATGTCCAGAACAGACATTGGGAAGTAAGTAGTCAAACTGGATTCCCTTGATGATTGTACCTAGGATACTTTTATGTACTATCTCCTTGGAGTCTCAGTAACCTTATCTGTCTGAAAACCCACACAATTTCCATACCAAAGGCATTAAAATTGATGGGGCGATTTAAAATGACAAACATGGGCTTAAGTGAACTCCTTAAAAAAAAAAAAATTCTATGAAGGAGAGTAAGTCGGAGGGGGAGATGAACCATGAGAGACGATGGACTCTGAAAAACAAACTGAGGGTTCTAGAGGGGAGGAGGGTAGGGGGATGGGTTAGCCTGGTGATGGGTATTAAAGAGGGCACAGTCTGTGTGGAGCATTGGGTGTTATGCACAAACAATGAATCATGGAACACTACATCAAGAACTAATGATGTAATGTATGGTGGTGATTAACATAACAATAAAAAAATAAAAAAAATTCTAGGCACAATAAAATTAATTTTAACAAAGAAAACAGAGTAAGTCAATTTCTTTTAAACAAACTCACTCTGGACTTAAAATAATTTATCACTTATAAGATAACTGTTATTTATAACGCTATGCCATTACCCAAGTGACAACAAAAAGCACAACCAACTGTGACATGTCATTAGTAGAGAAATAACATGACATTACTTTAAAACACCCCAAGTAATTACAATTGCTATTAATCAGCAGACCTCCACTCTGTGATCCTGCAAACCTGACTCAACAAAATACATACGTGTTATTAAATATCCCTAGGTGTTTTAAACGCATCTGTGTCACAGGAACACAGTCTCAGGGCTTTCCAAAATAAAATAATCTTGTGAGGAAGGATTTAGGAACGAATTTTTTGTTGGTTTTCAAGAAAAGGTAGGGGCATCTAAAATCCACAGAGATGAACATCTAATATTTTCAATAAATTTTTTACATTCCAACACTTGTTCAACTATAGATATTTTTAGTTTTACCGAATTAAAAAATTACATCTTACTGTTTTACAATCTATAATAATGTAATCAAATGTATAATTACTAGCTATAGCTAGAAATCTACTTATATTTTATATGGATATTATCATTATAAAAATTAAAACCAACCAAATTTAAAAATCTGATTTGACCAATTTAGGAAATTCTACATATCAATGATTTCAAATGTAAAAAAGTTATGCCATGACAACTGTGAGGATTATTTATAATTAAACTTTGTACCAAAAAATTATTTGCCCAAACTGAAGTCAGTATTGCTATTTAAAACACTAAAATTAATCATCCCCTCTGTACATTAAAAGGCAAACGTATAATTTATTTGTTCCCATTTAATAGTTGCTCTTAAGAAGACGAAAACCAGCAGCAGTTTTTTCCAATGTTCTATTTCAAGCAAAAGTAAAGATTTCATAATAAAGATTAATAATGATCTTAAATGGAATTTACAGTGGCTGTGATGCTCCTGTAGTCTTTTCAACCCAAGATGTGCTATTAAGCACAAAAGAGATTTAAAAAGCAGTTCTAAAAAAACCCAAAAAACCCCCAGTTCTCCCAGCATATATATTAAGAACTTGTTTTATTTTCTTTTTCCTTTTGTATGGATTTGGTGCATTTGTGCTCTTTTCTAACCTTCAGCATTTCTTCATGTATCCCATAATGCCCGTATGAGCTGAAATAAACACCATCCTCATCTTCCTGGAGGTCTGCGATGGCAGTAGATGACGAGCAGGTTCTGACATCTGCGTTCATCACAAAATCCTGAGCAAATTGTCTGTAATCAATTTGAAATACACCCTTGAGACAGGTTTACTGGACCATGAAAAGAGGAAAGGCTAGAGGTTGAGGGAGAGGAAAGGGGAGGGAGTGGGGTATGCAGTGTGATGAGCCTTCCAGCACAACATTCTATCTTAAGGAACTGAAGGCTCCCCCTGCTGGATCTTAAGCAACAGCATATTTAAACCCGTATGTAAACATTCCCTCTGCAAACCACAAAAACACTGCCAACTGAAGATTATAGCTGTTTGTATATTCCAACTGAACAAAATCACATTATCTTTATTCAACTTTATTATTTCTATTGTTCTAAAATCCTATTTTAGCAGCTGATCAATGTGGTATATTTCAACACTATTAATATTCTTTGAAACCGTATTTCATGGAAGGGTTATATGGACAAAAAGTTGACCCAAATTGAGAATTATTTACATACACCACCACCACCCACTGCTGCTCTAAAGCTCAATTCCCTCTCTGATCACAACATATTAAGAATCTATAATGTATACATGGGGGAGAAATGCAAAGAGGCAGATAGTAGAGTTGTCGTTGTTTATCAGATTAACTAGCATAAAATCTCAAAACGGGGAAAGGGAGCCACAATCAGCTACACTATGTTCCCTGCTGGACCTTCTGGCAAACCATCAAATGGGCACTGAGGGAATGGCAACCAACTTACAAATCCAACAGCTAAAGCTATACTTGGTAGAAATGCAGAATCTCAGGCCCTATTTCAGACCTCTGCATCAGAATGTACAGTTTAACAAATTCTCAGGTGATTCACATGCACATTAAATTCTGTGAAGTAGTAAGCCAGAAGAAGGCTAATTTACTCACTGGAGAAAACCATCCTATGTATCTGGTTTTCTAATTAAGTACTACGTAATTATACTTTGATTCTTTAAAAACAAAAATTTCAACCCTGTATTGTCCCCAACCCTAAAAAATATTAATTACTCCCCTTTAAAAGCCTAGGAGAAAAAAAGCAAATGGAAAAATCTATTAGATACAGAGTAGTTCAAAGGAAGGCAATACCAAAGAACAAAAGCACTCAAGAGGACAACACTCCCAGAACAATAACCATTAGTACAAAAGTAATTATAAAGAAGTATGTGAGAACAAGTAAAACCACAAAATTTTATTGTTAATCAACTACATAACATATGAAAATGTTGCATATCATTAATTTAAAATAAATTTAAAATTAAATACCTACATTGTGCTTTCCAGTACATGAAAAGTTTTACCACATTCCACCTTATTATTAGTGGTATTACTTTTGGGCTCTAAATAACTACTTTTCTTTAAGATTGATAAATTACTTCATTCTTTGCAGATCCTCACGTGCTCTAGCTAATTCAGCTTCAGCAGACAGTGCCCTGGCTTCCATATGTTTCAACTTCTCAACAAGAGATGTGTTTTCACTGAGTCCATTGGGGTATGAGAATGGCACTGACACTGGTTCATAAAGATCTTCTACATCTAAAGAAATAAATGGACATTATTATCAGGCCATCTTCTGACAATGAAGCAAATATAAACATGTTATCAATATATACTAAGTGCCTATTATGCAGCCAACTGAGAAATATTTGTAAAAGTACTTCTAATTAAATAAATCTTTAATATCCAGACTGCTTCCATTTACATTTAAAGAGCATGCTGACAGTCAAAAGTTTTTCATTAGGAGGCTAAATTAACCATATATAAAAGCATTAATTATACTGAACCAAACGCAGGAAGAAACAAAAAAGTGAAAGGAAAAAGCCCTCATATGTACTGATCACCAGGTTTCTTTCAAGTACACACACTGCATCTCGTTTCTTCCTCAAAACAAACCTAAGATGTAAGTATTTATCCCTAATTTAAGGCATGGGAAATATAAATTTCAGAGAAATTAAGTGAGTAGCCCAAAGTCATTTGGCTATTGAATGAATAAACTAAGATACAGACCCACGCCTGCCCTCCTAGCTCATATCCTTGCCACTACACAAGGTCCCTTCTCAGACTCTGGGTCTTTATAGAATAACAGGTATTACCTTTAGATATTCACTAAGGACAGTGTGTACATAAAGAATTCTATACATTCAGTAACTTATTCATCCTAGGTAAAGGGTAGTACAATCTATACACCGATGTCTTATTGCTGATATTATTGATATCCTAATTCCTAATATTAAAAGTTCTTGACTTAACTTTAATTTCACTCTGTATAAACTCATTAACTTCCACTGTAGAACTCATAACTCTGCAAACAGAAGTTAATATATGGAGTCAGTGACTGTGGTCAAAATCCCAGTGTCTATTAACCAGTCCAATTAACTTTCAGATCAACTTAAAGCAGTAAAAACAATGTGGATATATTTTCTCTTCAGTACAGTACTGGGAGAAATATGGCTTTTTTTTCTTATTCAGTTTTTAGTTGTGACACTTCTAAATAGAGTTGAGAAAAAAGAACTAATAAGCTTAACAAATACATGAGAATATTATAACTTAGAGACTAGAGCCTAAGTCAAACTTCTGAAAGCAGTAGTATGGTATGCCACTAATCTCTATCAGTCTGACAGAACACCGAGTCTCTGTTTTAAAAAAAAAACTATAGATTCATTCACTATTTAATTCACCAAAAATTAATGAGAACAACAAAATACATTAAGGACAGTACACCGTATTTTCTACTTCTTACTACAACTCTATGTATCTTGTTTTCAAACTTCTTCAAACTGTTTATAGGCCAATTTGTTAGTTTGAATTACAGATCAGAACTGAACAAAGGAACTGATTTCTTTGTTTTAGAAAGCTTCTCTGTTTGCTTTTTGCTGCAATAAAAGAGTAAAAACTTTCAACACTAATAATGTAGATAATCATATATATTAAATGTTGAAAAGGACAAAGGATTCAGTCAACATTAAGATCCATAACTATAATTTATCAAAAGTCTAATTCAAAGTCCTAAACCATATTCAGGAAGATGAATTTCCACATCTACATTCTGTCTCAGGAGGTTCAAATCACGTGGATACTCCATTTTGGCAGCTGAGAACTACCACAAAGGATAGTCAATTTATCAAGAAGACATAACAATTATAAATGAGTATAAACCTCACAAAATCAAAAACTGATAGAATTAAAAGGCAAAAACAGACAATTCTTCAGTCACAGAAATGTAAATACACCCCTATCAACGAATGATGAATTAGAAAAATTCAGAAACATATAAAAGATCGGAACACTAAAATATTCAGCACCTTTAACTACCTATTTCTAGAACACTGCACCCAAGAACTGTATCTGACACTTTTGTAGAGTACTGATTTTGTAGTCAGTCTGTCAACTTGGGTTTGGCTGATGTTTTTTCATTATTGGAATAAAGTTACACATTTTTGGCAAGAACAGCAGAAAAATGATGTTATACCCTGAGTGCATTTCACCAAGGTGCCAATAGAACTTAATGGTGATGTTAACCTTGATCACTCAGTTGTGGTATTGTCTCCTGGAAAAGTTAACATCTCCTTTGTATTTAAATTTCTTGGGGAGATACTCTGAACTATGCAAATCCTGTTTCATCTTAAATTTTGCCCACTAATCTTAGCATCCATTGGTAGATCCTTTTTTTTTTTAAAGATTTTATTTATTTATTTATTTGACACAGAGAGAGAGAGAGACAGCGAGAGAGGGAACACAAGCAGAAGGAGTGGGAGAGGGAGAAGCAGGCTCCTGGCCGAGCAGAGAGCCCAACGCGGGACTCAATCCCAGGACCCTGGGACCATGACCTGAGCTGAAGGCAGATGTGTGACAACTGAGCCACCCAGATGCCCCTCCATTGGTGGATCTTTTCTGCAAGTTATTACTATGGTGTTTGCCTAATGGTGATTTTCTATTTCTCTCTTCCCTTCTATATTTATTAATGAAAATTTTACTCTAAGTTCGAGCTGCTCCTTCTCTGTTTATTCATTTAGTTGATTATGTCAGTATGGATCCATGGATATTTATTCTATCCTATGGGCTAAAACCAAATACTATCACTTTCTGTGTTGCTCAAATTACTTCAGCTTTGGCCATGAAGAGTCCTTCAGGTTGGCTCCTGTATTCTTGTGTAAGGTCCCCCTCCCTATCTTTTCAAGTACTTCCTTACTTTGTGGCATAAGCTGTTCCAGACTCATCTTTTATCATCCTGCACCATCCATGGAATCAATCACTTTTCTAAAGAGCCTTGGTTCCTTTTATTGGACAATAGTGTTAACATCTGGGCAATAGGCACACTCATTGCTACTGGGGTTTTTCTAGGCTCTCTCAACAGAGCTAGGAAATACATGTGTATATACTAACCCACACATGCACAGACACTTATATTTCTGTATCTATCTGTATGTATATTAAAAACTGTGAATTTATACTGATACCTCCAATCCCAATCTATCACCATAGGACTCATTTCATCCTTCTGTACTTCCTGTATCTGAAACCTCCTTCTCCAACAGTAAGAAACCTACCTCTTATTATCCATAATATATTTACTTACTTGTCCATGCTACTATAGACAATACATAGTCCCAGAATTGCTATTTATACATACCCTGCGAGAAACACCTTTACTGACTAGATTGCAGCACTTATGTAGTCTTTTTACCTGGAGCCTCAGCACAATATCCAGTCAAGATTTTAGTTACTCAAACAGCTCTTTCCTTTGCCACCCCCTTCAGCAGTTACATTATTCCTTTGTAATATAGTTGAGTTCATTTGTTAGTGTTTATATTCCATTTTGCACCACTACTACCCTCACACAACCTGGTTGTTTTGTTGTTTGTTTGTTTTTATTACATGAAGGCTATGAGAAATAATACTACAGTCCTAAGAGTCGGGGCTATACAGAAGGGATCCTCAGAGAAACGCCACTCCCTCGTTATCCCTGTTACCTCAACCCCAATGTGCCCTTCTCTCCATATCTGTCCCACTAAATTCCACAAGTCACTACTCTCTTTAGTTTCTAGTTTATCCTTCCTGTATTTCTTTTGTACAAATAAGCAGATACATGCATTTTCTCAAATCCCTCTTTCTTACATGAAGAGAGTATCATACCATAGATACTCCTTTGAGCTTTGCCTTTTCTTGTTTAACAGTATGTCTTGGATATCACTCTATCAGTTCAGAGATCTCTGGGTTTTTTTTTTAATAGATGGTGTGGATATACCAGAGTTTACTCAACTACTCTCCTATGTATGAGCATTTAAATTGTTGTCAATATTTAGAAATTACAATGCTATACTGACTAAATTTGTGTACATGAATTTTCAGAATGTTGGAGGGGTACCTTCAAAATAGATTCTTATCTGTGAAACTGTTGTGTTAAAAAGTAAGTGCGTATCCATTAATTTTTCCCTAACACCCCCTTTTTGTATCAAGATCCTATCCAGGATACTGTAATTCATTCAGTTAGGTCTCCTTAAGCCTCTCTTAGCTATGACAGTTTCTCAGATGTTCCTTGTTTTTGATGATCTTGACAGTTTTCTGAGGAGTGTTGGTCAGGTAGTTTGTAGAATGACCCTTACTTTGTATGTCTGATGATTTTTCATGGTTAGACTGAGGTTATTGGTTTGGGGAGGAAGACTAGAGGGAAAGTACCATTCTCATCACATTTACATAAAGAGTTGATAATATCAACATGATTTATCGCTGATGTGATTATCTGGCTACGGTAGTGTTTGCCAGGTTTCTCCCCTGTAAAGTTACTTGTCCCCCTTTATACTGTACTTGCATTGCCTATTTTCTTAGTTATCTCCTTTATTAATTCAATCATCTTTAAATCCTCAAAGCCTAATACTTAGCAGATGCTCGATAGATATTTACTGAAAGGCAGTGGAGGTGCAATGGTCGGTAATCAAGCTTGGAGCCAAGAGAACAATGACTTTCTCTTCCATCTCTCTCCACCAAGGGCTAGGAGCACAGACTATTTGAGAGAATGCAGGCAGTGCACTCCAGGACATGCCCAGTTCAAGTTCTCCTTCTTTTACTAGGCCTCTTTAAGTGTTCCAGATTGCAATCATGGCTTCTTCATCCAAACTCCTGTAGGCCTTATTCACTTACTAATAACAATAAATTCTCCTTTATTAAGCACTTACCCTCTGACAGGTGCTGTGCTAATATGCATTATCTTTGCAACAATTTTATAAGGTAGGTGTCATTATCACCTTTTCACAAATTAAGGCTGAAAGAAATTAACTTAAAAATCACTGAAGAATTAGATTCGATACCGATCTGTGCCCACAGTGACCAGGACACAACATTCAATATCTGTTGATCTGAATAACCTCTTCCTCTTCTGAACAGTACTACCTTTTCTACTTCTCACGAAACTTATCATATTTGACCTCATAATACAAGATAGGCGTTTAAAAACAAAACACTCTTAAGACTGTGGGCTCCCTATGGGAAAGATTCATTTCTTCACATTTCTAAAGCATTTAACGTACTACTTTCATCCTGTGAGTGTTCAATAAATGATTTTGAATTTAGGAAGTCATGGAGAGCACTTAGTGGGCACTCTGTCATTTATCAAAGAGATCACTTTGATCACTCTTGGGAGAAATGAAATTAGAAATTGTAAAAACAGGAAAGAATCAACCAGGGACTCACCAAATTTTGGAGCCAGAAAGAATCTCAGATGAAAACTTAGTAACAGAAAGCTCTGTCCAGGGTCACACAGTTCCTGAATCCTACATTAAGGTCCTTACTACTACATCGCACTGCCACACAACTTAATGATGGTCCTTCTCAAGGAAATGAGTAGGTCTCCACAGTTCTCACTAATCAGAGAACTGCTCAACTCCACATTGTCAAACTTCTGTATGTGAAGGTACATGTCCGTTTAGAATGGTCTCACTGACCTGAAGAGAGCAAACCCTCTACCTCACCTGACACAAGAAACATGAAAGATAATATAAATAAGGGGAAAAAAAGCATACATTATTAACCCTGATAAATTATAACAATAAAGTATCTATAAGAAGCCAAAAGAATTTTCACAAGATCCCTGTTCAATAAGGAATGAGCTGGGGTGCCTGGGTGGCTCAGTCAGTTAAGAGCCTGACTCGTGGGACGCCTGGGTGGCTCAGTTGGTTGAGTGACTGCCTTCGGCTCAGGTCATGATCCTGGAGTCCCGGGATCGAGTCCCGCGTCGGGCTCCCTGCGCGACGGGGATGCTTCTCCCTCTGACCCTCCCCCCTCTCATGTGCTTTCTCTCTCTCAAATAAATAAATAAAATCTTTAAAAAAAAAAAAAAAAGAGCCTGACTCGTGATTTTGGCTCAGGTCATGATCTCTCAGGTCCTGGGATCAAGCCCCACCACAAGCTCCACACTCAGGGGAAGTCTGCTTGAGATCATCTCCCTCTACCTCTCCACCCACTTGCATATACACACTTGCTCGCTCTCTCTCTCTCAGATAAATAAATCTTAAAAAGAGTAAAACAGGGAATGAGCAAATGCACAGAATAAATAACTAAGTAAGAAAGCTATAGTCAAGAAATGAGAGTGGCCCTGACACAAGGAAGGCTATAGAGTTAGTGTATGCAGGTAAGCCCATGGAAATTTGAGTGGAATCTGTTCTGCATCAAAACAAAATCTCAGGGGTGCTTGGATGGCTCAGTCGTTAAGCATCTGCCTTCAGTCATGATCCCGGGGTCCTGGGACTGAGCCCCGTATTGGACTCCCTGCTTGGCAGGAAGCCTGTTTCTCCCTCTTCCACTCCCCCTGCTTGTGTTCCTTCTCTCGCTGTGTCTCTGTCAAATAAATAAATAAAATCTTAAAAAAAAAAACGAACATTTTATTTTAAAGATTTATTTTAGAGAGCAAAAGAGAGAGAGAGTGTGTGCCCGCACGCAGGTGAGGGGTGGCGCAGAGGGT